TGAAGCGAGAATGCTCATATCTACGCCGAATCTTAGCAAGGCAGAGAGTTTGCTTCGCGTGAACCAGAAGAATATGGCAGCGCTGAAAAGGGATCCCACGGTCATTAAGCAGATGCAGCGTCTGGACAATAATCCTGCTATTCAAGCTGGAATAAAAAACATCAGGAAAATCCTGTGATGGTGAACCAACTCAAAAGGCTACTGAAGAATCCAGGGTTCATCAGGACGTTGCAGAAACCTCCCTCGAAAAAAACTGCCAGAGAGGCGAACAGGTACCTGACAAAGGTCTTCCCTGGAGGGGTCTCCGTCAAAACGTTCGCACTTGTTATCATTTTTGGTCTCATTGTTAGTTTCGGAACCAATTTTGGTATATACTACCTGTCCACCTTGATATGGTAACTCGAAATATGAAAGCTCGAAAGGAAAGTTTTCGCCTCAAATGTTCTGAAAATCTCCCCAGTTCAAAGACGTAAATTAATACTTCCAACTAGCCCGATTCCATGACAAGTCGCGGTTACGCTGGCCTTGGATTGGGCAGACCCTTAGTTTAGCAGTATTTCGCAATTTGCCGGCTCAAGCAGCGACGAATATTTCGCAACTACACCCTCTCCCAGGCACTCTTTTGTATCTGGAACCTTGACAGCTAGCAATCGCGGCGACACACGTGCGTGATCTATCAATGCTCTATTGTCTTCATAGGATTAAGACGCTGCAAATTTACGTGACCACTTTGCTTTCTTCAAGAGTACGGATTATTTTCCAGTAAGAGTTCAGGATCTGGCTTCTAATCTGCAAACAAATGATCTTTACCCCTATGATGATCCATAGAATTGCCTGAAAGAAGTAGGTAGCTGACCAACGTTTCTGCTGCTGAGAAATTCCTGGAGTTTAATAATCACGTGAAGATCCATCAACGCGGGAATCACAAGCTGCAAAATACCCACTAGCAGCCATAGACATTTCACTTTTGTGATGCATCGGGTTCTAATAACAGCGAATATCGGTAAATAACTGTGTAGTGCAAGGCAACTCACCAGACTATTAAAGCTCGATCGTCGAGTCGCGAAGATCTCGAATTGATGTGTGTTGCATCCGACATTGGCAGCAGCACATACGTATTCCTGTCTTGTTGAGCTTACGTGACGCCTATTAAAACATTACGAATCATTGCCAAAGTTAAAAACTGCTTATGTGACGCCTATTAAAGCATCACGTATCATTGCCTAAAGTAAAAAGGTGATTGCGTGATGTAAAGCATCACGTATGCCAAAAAAAAAAAACAAGAAAAAAGAGAGGTGACACTCAGGCGAGAATTGGAGCATGATAAGGTTTTTTTTTGGGTAATATGTGATCCATCACTCGCAACACACAGACAACGATTTGCAATTCTGTTTTATTGTGGAAAATGCTAATCAATGTAAACCAATTAGCAAACATCAGTAAATTCAATGCACAGCGCTATAGTACACCTATGGATCCCATGGAACGCTCGCTAGCAACAGTTCGACGATCATACGCCGTTGCATCGCAACCGATAAACTCCATTGTTCAATTTCCACGAAGACACAGAAAACATC